AAAGAAAGTGAGTTGATTTTCAAGTTCAGAATTAAAAAAAAAGAATTTTAATGATATTTTAATAAGAATCTGTGTTACTATACTACAGGTTTACTATGTCTGGCTGTTTTGACAAAAAAAGTTTCTTTTATCATTCTGCAAAGCCGCCTTCTTTGTCTCAGGCCACACCACAGGGATGCAAAGGTTGTTGCCCTGTTACCAAATTTCTACTGTATACAGAAAAATCATAACACCAGCACTTCAATGTTGTGTTTGTCTAAAGTGCTGACCATTTTTCAAAAACATTAGTCAAAACTATAAAGTTTACAATCAGTAATAAATCGCAACATATATTTCACTGGAATCTTTTTGTTACAGGTAACAACAACATCTTTATCCGCTTTCTAAGTTTATTTTAAAGCAATAATTCACCACACAAAACTCTGTAGAACTCCATCATCTTCGCAAAGTTTTGAAAAATTAAATGCTACATTTAATTTAAGTTAAATATCTCAGCATAATACAGTTATTATGCAAAACGCCATAAAAAGATGTAACTATAACTTTTTATAATATAAAAATAACACTCTCTAGTATAATACTATATGCCACCATCAGACTCAATCATGATTATTATTATACAAATCTTATATCAAGGGTAACATATTAGACCATGGACACTCAGAGGTTAAAGACTAAAACAAAGTTATGCAGTATCTGCTATTCATGTTTAACAAAAACTAGTATTTATGTGCAGCAACTGTAAATCAAAGAGTTACAAAATGCCAAATAATGTATTAACCTTTTCGTGACACAAATAAGCACATTTTGTTTAAAAACAACAACACCCCAAAGTAACCTCTGAGCTCAAGCAGGACTGCTTATCAAATTATATGACAAAGGATGCTGAAAATGAATATTGTGAAACTGTTTAAAGAATGAAATAATGCATCTAGCAAAATAATTTGTATTCAGATTATGAAGCATATTTCCTTTAATGCTCCATTTATGATGAATAGGGTCTGCGGCGACATAAAACCCTGCCACTATTTTTAGTGGGAAAATTGTGAAGATTAAAAAAGGAAAAAATGCTTGCTGATTTCATTATTAAAATATTTTTGGCACATTACACCTTCTTTTAAAGATATAATATACAGTGCCACTTAACACAAATATTTCTCTCTTTTGTTTGTTAAAAACTTTTTTTAAGCTGCTTGGCCTACACCTAAAATACATAATTCAAAAATATTTATGTAATTGAATTGGAAAAAGCTGAAGAGCTCAATACTACATCTTTCTGACTCTCAGAACGAGCATTAGTTTACTATGCAGAATGGTCGCTATTTTTTATCCCAGGGAGTAAGAGATACAAAATGGCTATGGTAATATCTCTTACTGGATCCACCACTTACCCTTTGTGTCACCTTACCCATGTTTTGTGTCTTGCTGATCTTAGTGACAGACAGGACTAATTGTTTACTATGTGAGCCTAAAGGACAGAAATGTTTAAGAATCATTAATATCATTTAAAAAGGTATTTCAATCTTCTCTTTGGCCTCTGTTTAGCTGTGCTAGGATTGTGAATGACAGCTTCCCTGCTTGAAGCACAGGGAACGCACAGCCTTCCTCATTCACTGATCACACTATGGCCTTTTCACACGTTCCTTCCACAGTAGTGTTTGTCCCCAAACACTGGGGCTCAGCACAATGACATTCCTGTTCAACACCCCCACCAACAGCACAACTACATATCAAGAATGCTAATGAGACAGGACAGCCCCTTCACTGGAAGTGTTAACTGCACTTCATGCTTGCATGTTTATGCTATTTCCACACTTGCTAATGAATTTTTAATATTCCAAGCATAGCTTTGAACAATTTCATCCTGCAGAAATTGCAGCTCGAAGTAAAGGCACTTAAATACACACTGTCAAAGCAAAGTTATTAGCTCTTTTATCATATTTGTCGTTAAATACAGAAAACAAGATGTGATCTTTTAGGTCTAAATTAAGGCGCACAAATCAAGAAAACAAGAGGTTTAAACACACACTCGTTTTATCACCTAAATACGCCACATCGTAAAAAAACCCTAAAATTCTCAGAAGCATTCGTAGATTTTAAGGGAAGCATTCACTTCCTGAAAATCACTTATCACACATCTCAGCCAAATGCTCACAGGACACTGTGATTTTAAAGGTATGACTTCTAGAATACAAAATATTACTGTAATTATAGTATTTCTACTTTTATTTTTGTTGTTGGGGGGGACATTTTCTCTTGTCTTCAAGAAGTCGTAAGTTCCAAAAAGTATCATTTTTCCTTAATCCACCCTAAACATTTTCAGTAAAAGCTGTAAAAAGTATTCACACTTTTTTATGACACAGGGATAGAAAATGGTCATGTGAACTGAACATTTTGACTCAGATCCCCGCACCTAAAAGGGCAAGATGCAACAAACTGCTAGCATACCCACTGTTGCTGACATGTAAAGTAGACCTTCAGAGAAAGTGGTATGTTGTGCATGTTAATTCAGATGGACTGAAAAGCAGAAGGAATATTTTAATAGTGTAAATACCTACTGCTACGCAGGTTTCGTCTGCATGCCCCAATGGAACAAAATTAACTGGAAGGTATTTCTTCAACATTTGAAATGCTTTCTTTTTAATTAAAAAGGATAACGTTAAGGTAACTGAAAACAAAGGCAGGGTACAGCTAAGTAAAACCTGAGATGAGAAACAATCACGCTTCCTCTGAGCACACACAGCATCATCAAAAAGCCACTCTCTCAAAACAGTTTGCCTAGGCAAAACAATAGCCACTAAAGCCTTTTGACCTGGCGTGCTAGTTTATCACAGGTGAGAAAAACATACGGTACAAGTGCTGATGAGGCACTCACATGACACATGTCAGCACAGCCACATTCCTCATTGGGTGGACTAACTAGTCTGAACAATCAAAAACCTTCTGGCAAGAACAGAAGAGTAGGGCCCAGCTGCATGGCATGCCTGTGAGCTGCGTGGCATGCTTGGTCTGGTTCCTTCTGCTGATGCATTAAAGAAGAGATGGGTTACAGCTGTGCATTGGGACATAGCTATGGAGGGCACACAGAGGTACAAGCAAATTTTGACAATGGCCTGTGATCCAAACAGGGCTGTGCAAGAACATAAAACACTTGCAAGTGTGCACAGGGAGAATGATTTTCCACGCCATCTGTGGCCCGTTGCCCACACTGAATGTTTCTGCAGAGTGTCCTCTGGCCTTTAAGAATTAGTAGTTTTTCAAGATGCAACTGACTGGAGCCAGAAGAGGGAGGCTTAGTGTGGAAAGAGTGCATGTAGACTATTGTGCTCTGTTCTTTGGGCCACATGCAGTTATTAAAAATTGCATATTATGGGGAAAGGGGGGGGGACAGAAATATTTCAGAATATGCTTAACCAAAATAAAGTGATTTTAAGTATTTGAAATACTTAAGATACCAGTGTTAAAATCTTAAGTTACATGAAAAGGGCAACCATTACTAAACATGGGACTTCAGTTGTATTTATTCTTACTGTACTGTTGTACGTGTAACTTACTGTGATCAACAGCCATAGCAAATATTCTTAACCTGGGTATAACTTTCATATTTTAGAACTGCCTAATATTACCTCTCTTTTTCCTTCTAAACACTGAAATAAGTTTAAAATGGTATCCGCTTTTATAAAAGCAAAAAAGGGTTCTGAATCAAACTCAAACTTTTACTGTTACTAGTTTATGACTCTTAAAACCCAAAGCACTATGAATAGCAGATGCCCTTTGTTCTATATTAATTTGGTGCAAAATTATGATTACTGAAACAAAACTGAATTTCATTTGAGAGATATTTTTCATTAAAGAAAAGAATGTCTTTCTGGTATAGACCATTTCTACTTCTCTATGTTTTGCATCAAAGCTGCCTTTTACAGGTGAAGTAAAAACTTGAAAAATAAGGACCAAATAAGGATCAAGTGTAGTTCCTCCCCCACCCCCTCCACCAGTATTAAAATGGGTCAAGCATTTGCTGAAAGAAGGCTCCTTTGCCTGCTTCTGTATTCTTGATTACTTGTTGTAGATCCCCATCAGCTCAGGACAAAACAGTTTATTTCAAAGTAAATGATCATTTCTCTTTATGAACCTAACAGCAGGAGGTGCTGTATAAACAGCATGACTGACATCCGCTTCCTCCCCCCCCCCCCACTTCATGAAGACTGAGAGCAGGATGCATTCATCTTTTAGTATGTGACCCAATATATCTTGTAAATCTCAGTTTAAGATGCAATATTAATTCTTGCTCTGATAATTTTTCATGCCAAGCATTTCAAGCACTTAAAAAAAAAAACAAGCAAACTATACTAAAACTAACAGTTCTGAAAAGGCATACAAAATTTGTTCAGTTTAGGTCAATAGCACCAATATGCATTAAAACATATTTCTAAAAGGTTAAAAAGAATACTGGCTTGCAGTGCAGACCAAATGCAAACTAACTACATTCAATACCTTTCATCTATAAACACACACACACACACAAAATAAATCTCTGTGCTGGGTATAGAATGTAAATGTATTTTAGATGCCTAACAGATTTCTCATGCAAATTGCTGAAGGCTGAAGTAAAACATTAAGAAAATGACAAAACATTAAGAAAAATGTTATGTTTACATGATTTTACATTTAACATATCTTAACTATATTTCAGTTCTAGTTATTTCTACATGGGGGGGGGATGAAATGAATTCTGAGAAACTGCAGATGTTTCACTATTAGTGACCCTATCCTAAATAGCTATATATAATTTCCTTAGAAGGAGAAGTGCAGCACAAAAAGATTAGGCATACAACACAATGAAAGGCATACACAATTAACTCCATTATTGTTGGCTTTGAGATTACAGGAGAAATACTTCATCTACCTATTGCGTATAAGAGCTCAATCACAGCCTTACTACAACTAGTGCATTTCATATCAAAGAAAAAGCAGCTGTTTAAAGACGTGGGATAACTCACCTGATCACAGTAGTTTTTAGCAGACTTTAATCGCTGGTGCAAGGCCAACAGTACTCCTTGGATATATATCTTTGCTCCAGAGGGGCTGAAACCTTCTCCCTTAGAGACCCAAAGAGGTCCTCGCAGAGGTGTGATGGAATTCTGCAGGCATTTGTCCAGCAGAGGAACTACACAAGGGGAAGGAAAAGGGGGGAGAAAGGCATTCTTTTGACCCAGCTGAAACACACAGTCTGAAATGCATCCCCAAACCCACAACTCTTAACATCTATTATTTATATCTGACCTGGGTTAAGTCTTAGAAAAACAGATCCTGCATTTCGAGTGGCCACCATGAAGGATGTATTTATATTGAGACACCCCCCCATGTAAGACTCATAAGCCTTGTGAGCACACCTGAATAGTTTTGAAGTGTGTCTAACTAGCTGCACAGAGTGTCATGGTGTGCACTGATTGCCTTATCTTCTCATTTATCACAGATGAGTTGGAACCAACCTTGCTGAAATCTACTGGCATTGTCCTGATAAAATTGCAAGCTCCATGTTGTTTCAGAGCATAGCTTCCCATCAATGAGTGTATATGTTTATAGATCAAGCATTTTACACGGCTGATAATTACTAAAATAGAAGCAGTTTTATAAAGAAATTTTTACTATCTTTTTTTATTATTTGCATTCGAACAAGTAGCTTCCAAAACAAATAAATCTGCTTAGTATAGCATTGCTGTTCTTTTGATTGAAGTGGATGGGGGAGTGGAGAGCAGGACGACACGTATGTAGCATGTAAGGCACTGGGTGACAACATATGCTTTCTCTTCTATCATCATTTCCTAAAATATGTTTGAAAAACAGACACAACCTTTCAGACGGTAGGCAAATGTTTTTACACTAGTAACTATGGGTATCTTAACTATACAGTACTGTGTGGTACAATCTCTTTATTATTATCAGTAAACCCTGAAGCCAAAATATGCTTATTTCTCCCTTGGCTCTGCATCATAGATACTAGCAGATTTCAGAATATGAAGAAAGCTTATTTACTTTATTAATCTGTGTGCTGATAAATTAAAGGAGTGGGTGAATCCCACCCCCCCACCCCCACTCTGATAAAACTTAAGAATTTCCTCAGAATTTTAGTAGAATGAAGGATCTGTGCGCAGCAGCCACAGCCGCCCCCAAAGAGTGCTGCCCCCACAAGGGCCTCTTTGTAAATGCAGTTTGCACCGTGCAGATGCTTGCCCTCCAGCTGACCTGATTCAGCAGGGAACTCCTACACTGAATCCTGGTGAGCCTTGGCACAAATTAAGCTCAGAGGCTGAGGGAGAAGGAGAGCCTTCCTATAATTAGAAGAGGGCAGGAAGGGGGAGGTGAATCTAGCTTTGTGAAGGGTTGCTGGAGGGAAAGGGTGAGGGACCAAGAGTGGATTTGTGTTTGAAGGAGAACAGAATACCTGCATTCTGTGGTTACAACCTTTGGGCAATAGGTGAGGGTCAATCCTTATTTCTAAAGAGAGAAGCGTTGGGCATTTAGTGTGCTCACGTGAGACAGAAATGTCATCACTTTATAAGTCCTGCTTCTTCACTATAAATGTGTGTGGTTGGGGAGACTGCAGTTTCTCAAGGGTTAAGTGAAAAGCACTCTGCACATGCTTGCACACATATTGTTCCTTAATTCTAAGTGAGCGGGGCTGCACTCTAGATTACTTACTTCTGCTTAAGTATTCTTTACCATGTGACCAGTCTTGATCTAGTTTCCTATTGCCATAAATATCCTCAAAAGTTTAGAGACTAAATTACAGAAAAGCAATATAATCTTGTGGTAATTCTGGACTCCCTCCCCCTCCCCAGAAATCCTGTTTTGTGTCACTAACTGCTTTTTACTTATGCTCCCTGGCCACGAGCAACATTTTATCAGTGAGGGGCCCATGATACTATGAGTGGAGGCAGGGAGGTCTGAGGTGAGACAATCAACCTCTCCAGTCACCAATGGCCAAAGGTGTTTCCTTTGCCTCCTTCTTACTCCAACACCCAGCAGTGTACTTCATGAACCATGCAAAGTCACTAGAAGCAAAGCCTCCATGTTTGCAAGCAGGGAACCAACCAGAAGCCAGATCTTCAAAACAGATGTGTTGTGTTAGGATCAAAGTACAAAAACACAAGAGGAACTAGGGATCAGACGGGGGTGGGTGTTTTTTCTTGCGCTACCTCACTTATAGGTGGGTCTTACCCTTATCAATACTCACATATATGAGAGACAGAGCTTTCTTACAGACAAAACAACTGACCGTTTCCATGGGGCAGAACACAGAAATTTCAGTTTGTTGGGTAGGGGGTTTAGAGGAACACCTGAGGTGGAGATTGCTTCCCAAAATGCAACCAATGGGGGTAATTATATACACATTCACACAATTGGACAGGTAGAGAGACTGTGGTCAAAACTGCATAAGATACAAAATTTTCCAGTCAAGTCCCCCCCCCCCTTGCAGGCCAACTTTGACAGGTGGGGACTCACATATCAATCATCTGATGTCATAATGAAGTCAGGTGACTGACAAGTGAGTGATCCCACCTACATGTCAAGTTGACTGGGGGGTTGCTGGGGGGTGCTTCTTCACAGAGGTAATGCACTGATGAAGCAGCATTCAGCAGGACTAAACTCTCTGCTCACGATGAGCGAATACTTCAGTCCTGGTCTCTGCAGGAGTCAGGTCATAATTTAACCCTCTGCTCATCAATTAATGAGTTTGGGTGAAATCCACCTGCTTTGGCTGTGTGTGCCACCTATCTGCAGAGAATTGGAGGGATGCAGCCTGTGGCGTTTGCCCTCCTAGGTATGTGACATCAAAGTGGGTCATAAGGAAAGGGCTAACTAAGTGTAAAATGACTAACCAATAGGAGCCCAAGGAGAGGAGTTAGAGTTAGAGTTGTTAAGAAGTCAGTCTGGAGTTAGAGAAGAGAGAGAGAGGATAAGTCTGTGGGTTGGGCTAGTCTGATGTGAGAGAGTGAGAGAATCTGTTAAGAGCAGTCAGTCAAACAGTTGAGATAATCAGTCAGAAGGTATTAGGAAGATATAGGCCGGTAAAGAAACTAAAGTTAAGAAACTGACAAGAATTTTACCTGAGAAACCATAAACTTGTTAACGCTTATAAAATAAACTTGTTTATTTGGTTCAATTTTTATAACTGTCTGGACTCAGTGTGTACCTGAGAGTAATGGGTTTGTGGCAGTGGGGAAGTGGGCACAGTGGTGGCACAGGGATCAATAGACCATCAAATGTCCGGGGACCCTGTGTGATCGCCACAGGGCCAATGGAGAAATGACACCCACATATCAATGACAGCCATCATCACTTTTATTTTCCCCAAGCACCTATTGGTGTGGCCATCCACTCCCTCTAGTGCTCCCTGAGATGCTGCCACCCGCTCCAATGCTTCCCTTTTAACTTGCGTGGGCAGCAGCCAGTGCTGATCAGGTCCCTCTCAAATTTGCTGTGATCCCTGTTGGGTGTTGAGAAGACCATGCCTGAACTTAAACCACACCACTGATTCCTGTGCCGACTGTGACATGGATCACTCATTGGTAGCGAGCAAGATCCATCTCCAGCCAAAGAAGGCCCATAGTACAAAGCATAAAGCATAAATAGTCGGAGCCAAACTTTGTCTGATTCTGTTAAACAAGCTCTACTGAACTGCCCCAAAGATAGTGTGGAAGGAAGGTGGAACCACATCCAATAGGCACTCTACATACAACACAGCTAGGTCCTCCTTTGGCAAAAGAGAGCAACAGATCCCTGACTGGTTTGAGGCCTGCATAAAAGACATGAAACCTGCTGTTGCTGCAAAGTGTGAGCCTCTCTTCAACTACAAGTGTGCACCCTGCAAAAAGACTTTTGTTACATAGAGAAAGGCAAGTGATGCCCAGCAGAACGCACCGCTGAAAACCTTTTCGGGAGAGATCATCACAGACCACAGCAACAAAGCAATGGGCAGAGTACTATCCAGAACTGTACTCGCAGCAAAACATGGACTCTGACACAGTCAACATTATCCAGACTCTGTTTGTCTTGGAAATGTCCCTCCTGTGCCTGAAGACAGACAGGTCATGCCATGGTGCCTCTGCAGCAGCACAAGTGGATCCATTCATCGGTCCCAGCTGCAACAAAATGTGTCTCTCCCACTTTGGTCTCTACAGCTACAACAGGCGCTACAAACTTTCAACAGCTTGACCTCACCCCCAAGGGCGCACTCCTCCATTGTCTCCTAAAACAGATGGATGCCAACAAGATTCCTGGTTAATTTCCAAGCATGATTTAAAATACTAGTGTTTAACTTGTAGCCCTATGTGGCTTGAGATCCAAACACCTGAAGGACCATTATGTTCACATCAATTTGGCTCAGGCAATGAGGATTTTATCATTAGCTTCCTCTGAGTGAGGCAACTGAAGAGAGGTCCTTCTATTGTGGGACCCCATCTGTGGAATAGGGTTACCAGGCTATTTTAGAGACATATTTTTCAAGATCTTTTAAACCCCTCCTGTTTTATTGCTGTTTTTATCAATTATGTTTTATCTTTCTATTTCTGTTTTGTTTTATATTTATGTTATAAATCATATTTTATTGATTTATTTTTTTAATTTTGTAAATCACCCTGAACATTTTTATAACTTTCAAAATTTAAATCACCTGATATTGTATCAAAAAGCGTGATACAAATATCACAACTCAGAATACCAAGTCTATTGGACAAAGTTATCTTAAGTGAAAGTGCTACAGCGCCAAATCATATTTGGGTCAGAGCAGCTGAAAGTTATCACTTACTGTCTGACTGACCTCACATGCTCACATTTTCCCCCCAAAACATGCACAAAACTGTTCAAATGCTGTTTGAATTCATGGATTCTACTGGGAGGCAGATAGGTAACTTCAAACGGAACTGGTCTCTCCTTGTCTGCTTTGCACAGGATGAAGGTTACAAGTGATCTGTGAAATTCTGGCTTACCATGTGAAACAGCCTTCCTTTCAAGCACTTAAATAAATGTTGGAAGGTTATTTTTTACCAGTAAGAAATGTTCAAATAAATACAGGATCCTCCCAGTTCATTAGTTAGCTTCTACCTGAAGTGCTTGGAACTGGAATACATTAAGCCCAAGATCCACTCCTGACCTGAACCAAGG